CGTATCGAGCGCGTTATTGGTAGATCAGTCGAACCTTGCGTCCCGCACCGCGCCCTCATTCCGCTTGCTCCCAAAAGTACGCTTGTGTACAGTGAAAAGTCTATCGTTATTAATCGTTAAGTTATTTGTTATAATTGCTTGTGGACTTTGTTGCCATTGCTATTTGTTGAGTGTTTGTTGATTTTTTATAAAACATACACTATGCCGTGACAAACTGGTGTAGTACTTAAAAGAAAGGGTAGAAAATTTGTGTACGACGTATATTGCTTCATTATAAAACAGGGAAAGAATGATATGGAAAAATTAAAACAGACTTCGGAAGCAACAAAAACATCAGTGAGTACTGTTAGGTGCATTATTAACGAAGCTAAAGGCTCTGGCTTGCTCGCCGTGTTTCGGACTCCGGGTAAGAAAAGATCAGGGAAGAAGAAAGTTACCGGAATTGATAGTTTCGTTCAATCTGTAATAAAAAGATGTAATCATAATAACTACATAACAAGCAGCGAAACTCCGTACCGTAGAAAGGCTTCGAAGAATTTAAAGAAGATATAAATTTTAATGGCTCGGAATGAAGCTTACGACGAATTATGAAAGAGCTAGGCTTCAGATGGAAAAAAAGAACAGAAAATAATCGGAAGCTGGTAAATGAAAAAAGTAACATTCGATTACTACGAATCGAATATCTTCAAAAAATAATTAATTATAGACAAAAAAGAAGACCGAATCGACCGAGTTGTAAACTACGCCGATGAGCCCTATGTCGACTCATCACGATGATAGCGACTCGGGTGATGAAAACAGTGATGATGATGATGGTCAAGATTATGATAACGAAAAAAAAATTACAAATACCAGCTTCGCTTTAACTGAACCAAGACCTGGCAACAGCTCTAGTTTTGACTTAATAGAAGGAATATCTATTTTACCCCAAGATTAAATTATTACAATTATTAACCTATATGTTTTGTTGATGTTCTAATAAATATATAAATAAATACATATGTTGATTTTAATAATTTAATAGCATTATGACGCAGAGTAAGTAATGTTTTTGCACGTGAGTGTACCATGCGCAAACTTACCCCCACTACGTCAACAAATGCTCAAGAAGTTTGCCGGTTATTATACCTACAAAATTTTATTAAAGAAATTTTTAAATGATAGTTAAAAGGTTACTAGTGATAGGAACTCTTAGTTTCTGCTAGTTTCTGCCGTGAAACAGTAATGCGTTTCGGCTTGAAGGGTGGGCAGCCGTTGCAACTATACTGAGACCTTAGAACTCATATTTCAAGTTGGGTGACGGCATTTACCTTGTAGATTTCTATGGACTCCGGTAACCTCTTAACACCGGGTGGGCTGTGAGCTCGTCCACTCATCTAAGCAATAAAAATACAAAATTTGAATGTAATTACTCGCCAGTGTAAAGCTGTGTTGGGTCATCTTCAGCAGTAGACTCATCTTCTTGGTAAAGTCTTCGTATAGTGCATTAATTGTCGCCAACAATGTCAATCAGGAGGCAGTAGTGTAGTCTGTCATCGTTGTCACATGTTCCGAGAGACTAAAAATTTTTTTTATTATTTTGAAATTCGTTAAAAAACCATAAAAGCCAACTCATACTACTAAATATGATTTATAATTTCAGTTGATGGTTTATATAAGTAGGTAATAAATAATACAGAACACTAAGATCGCAAAAATGTTGAGAATCTATTTCCTCAAGTAGCCAATAAAAATGAAACAACATTATTATAATCATAAAATACTGTTTACATTTCTGTATTACACAAAAAACTCCCAGCCTCAAGAATTCAGATCAATGTAGAATGTATTTTTAAAGCAAACGGAAATGCAGTTAGGTGACGCCATTAATATTTGGCGGGAAAACTCTGATTGCAATATACTTCGAATCTGCTACCGTGATTGGAGTGAATGAGAATGGTTGGTTTATTTAGCAGTGGAAGTATTGAGGCTGAAATAACGATTTAGCATTGAAGGCAGATAAGAAGGATCCTCGGACTCCTGATTGTGCGTAGCAGCGCAACTTCTGTTTGTGGCAACAGGAGAATACTGAACCGTGGTGGAGATTTTTTTTTATTGCCTTTGTAGTCAGATGAGCATGGGATGGTATGGACATGTGATGAGACAAAATGAAAATGAGGTTGGTTAGAGAGTGTGAACTATGAATGTGGAAGGATATAGAGGAAGAGGTAGACGTAAGAAGAAATGGATGGATTGCGTGAAAGACGATATCTGTAAGAGGGGAGTGAGCGAAGAAATCGTATATGATAGAGGTGTAGGGAAGGAGAAAACATATTGCGCCGACCCCAGGTGACTGGGAGAAGGGCAGGAGAATGATGATATAAGCAGACGATCATACGGCCCACCTGATGGTAAGTGGTTACCGTCGCTCATGGACTTTTTTAGTTTACTTAGGTTTTTTTACTGGTGGTAGGATCTCTTGTGAGTCCGCACGGGTAGGTACCACCGCCCTGCCTATTTCTGCCGTGAAGCGGTTATGCGTTTCGGTTTGAAGGGTGGGGCAGCTGTTGTAACTACACTGAGACCTTACAACTCATATCTCAAGGTGGAGGCCGGCATTTACGTTGTAGATATCTATGGGATCCGGTAACCACTTAACACCAGGTGGGCCGTGAGCTCGTCCACCCGTCTATGCAATTTTTAAAACTGACTATTGCTATTGCATCTGGTATCTCCAGTGCTGAAGCAATATGTCTAGGTTTTTTGGGTACAGCTTCAATACACCCTATAGCTTGAGCTATCTCAAGAGCTTTCGTTACGTAGCGTCTGCGGTAGGCAGCGGTAGCAGGCTACCGTAAATATTAGGAGATTTCGTACTATACATATCATATACCGCATACATTTACCTTGTGGTTTCACTGTTTTGGCAGTGGTGCGATCTTGTCCGTTGGCTGAAGCGGATACGGGGAAGCAGCTGGATCCTGTGGGGTTGCGGGCTGTTGCATTTCAGCAGAGGGTAGGGTACCGCTGTTAAAAAAAAAAAAATGTAAAAAAAATGGTGCGCGTGCAACTTGTTGCATGTGATAGAAGTGAAACTTCTTTTGCGTGTAGTATTGTGGTTTTTTTCTTTTTTTATCCTTAAATCAATCATTTTTATTATAACAGGGGATACTGTGTATAAGAGAAACGACCTCTTCACCATTTTATACCCGAACCTGCGGACCGAATGGTAAACAGTCCCCCTAAACACGTCATTTCGGATCCTCCCGAACCATTAACGGTGCTTTTAGGTACCTCAAGCCCCGGTCATCGTTCTCGTCGAACCCGTCGCTTGTGACGAAGGGCTCGGCGAGTAAATTAACCCATAGACACAGCCCACTGAGTTTCTCGCCGGATCTTCCCAGTGGGTCGCGTTTCCGATCCGGTGGTAGATTCTGCGAAGCACGACTCTTGCTAGAGTTCGTGTTAGCAAGGTTTGAGCCCCGTGAGCTCACCTACTAGTTAAGTCTACGCTGAAATAGCCTCTCAAGGCTATCAGCTTAGGTAGAAAAAAAAACGGTTTAAGTAAAAGTGTTCAAAAGCTGACGTTTTTTCAACTCGGCTAGACCGTAGCGACGTGCATCGAAGGCCGTGTCTGGACACGTGAAAATTATCACCGATTAATACTAAGCTGTAACGACTGCATGTGCTAAATCTACGACACGATCTCAAACAAACGTACGGCCATAATAAATTCAACATTATTCCATTTCTGTTAAAGACTACATCCGAAAGCGTTATTGCATTAGTTGCATTCATGTACGAAAGAGATGCAAAAGGTTATAAGTGCAACGACGTTACGAGCGAAAATATTCTCTGAATCATCGATAAATGAGCTTTAATTACCTTGAATATAGCGTTTATGTTTAAGTCGTAAATTTAGATTCGTATCAACAATGCACCTGTCAATAATACGGAATGGTAACTATGCAGTTTGTCATTGCAAAGACCTCTGAAATGTTTACAAATTGTGTTACATATGTTTTCAGTAGCAAAATGTTGAACGATTGGTTTTCATTTTCAGTAAAATAGTTTCGGTGACAGAAGGACTGTCACGATATTAGCCTGTCAATTACTGTTGTGATGAGCGTGACCAGGCAAAAAATTTGCAAAAAGCAATGCCGAGATACTTTAACATTTAAATTAGTTAAGTAGGGATCAAACAAGTAAGCGGTATTTCAAATTACATATAAGTACGTACATATTTAGATTATACGAATGCAAACACGTAACAGTAATTAACAGTAACAAACTATAGATTCGAAAAAGAAAAAAAAAACGATTCAAACATCTTTCAATTTATAAGCTGTAAAACGGAAATTGCAACATAATGAAACATTAATCTTATATCTTTAAACGACCAATTCTTGTATATATGTATATAATCTGAATCTCGGAAATGGCTCCAACGATTTTCATAAAATTTAGTATACAGGGGATTTCGGGGGCGATAAATCGATCTAGCTACGATTTATTTTCAGAAAATGTTTGTTTTATTCGCGTTTTCAATAATCAATTTTATCGATAATCAACTTAAACATAAACATTTTTTTTTTATTGGAAGAAAATCACAAATAGTATAATGTAATATTACTATGTAACAAGGTCGACAAGGTGGAGGGACGTAGTGGTGAAGGACAAGAGAGAATGCAATGTTGCTGACGAGGATGTCGAAGACAGAGCGAAGTGGAGGAGTAAAGTCACGAAAGCTGACCACCACCATGTGGGATAAATAGCTGGGAAGAGAGAGAGAGTAATATCAATATGTAATTCGTTTTTAAATATAATTTCAAAAAAACACAATTTATCAAAATATAAAAAAAAACCTTTGGTTACTATTTAAAAATAAAACGAACGATCTCTTCGTAGCAATTTAATTTTTAATTTATCAAAAAAGATTGCACATTCATAATTATCAAAAATTTTGCATCTACATAATAAAAAAAACAATATTTCGAATGCATGTAAAGTCAATTCCAAAAACGAATACATTGATGTGTCAAATTGCAAATGGCGGCATTTAAAAACCGGTTTCCGACTCAGGCGCTAGATTCATCCACATCCACTACGTCCGGTTCCAATTCCTCCACGTCGAACTCCTGATGCGACGCGCTATCATCCGCAGCGATGCTGATCGTCTCTGAAGCCGGCACGGTGTTCCCACCGGAAGCCGGTATGAAATTAACATCGGAAAACTCAACAGAATTCATCATTTTATTTACTACAGGAGATTCTGAATCTGGTACGATTGTGAAAATCTCATCCAGTATGTTTCCTTCATCAGACTTTTGTTCATATGGAACACGGGAATCGTTTGCTTCGTCACCAGAATCGTAAGATAAAGATGTAGAGGAAATTCTCTTGTTAATGCGCTCCCTGAAAATAATAAATTAAAAATAAATAATCAACTATTGAATTTAGTCGAGCTGAAAAAACGCACAATAAAATAATAATAATATGTAATATACGAGTGTATTTAAAAAAAACAAAAACAAAAAAGAAACAAACCTTAAAAAATTGAAAAAAACAGACACTCGCGCTGACGAAAAGACAAAAAAATTGTCGGCTTTAAAGCGATACTTTTAAAATGTGGTTTAAATTATACACTTCCTGAAAGTTTAAAAAAAAGGCTGTTTAAAACAACCATCTTGGATACCCATAAACTTTGTAAATAACAAATAATAAAAAAGTGCTTCATTATTAGCTCAGATCACGGAATGTGAAGAGAAACTACCACTCAGAGTGAAATACAAATAATTATGAAAATGAAGGCGGGCGCTGACTCCTGACCTGATGTCGGCAAGGGCTTGGCTGTGCCCCTAACATTGCTGATGTTCATGGGCGACAATAACCACTGACCATCAGGTGGACCATATGCACGTCTGCCTACAAGGACAAATCAAAAAGATTAGTATCCAGTAGTGGTAGGTAGATACCAGTTACGTTCGTAACGCCATAGTTTGATAAACTACGAACCTCCTAAAAGCAGTTTCTTTATTACTGGTGAATTAGCTCACGGCACAAGGGATGTTCAGTAATTTTCGGAGCTTTTTAATAAAAAAATGAATGATATCCCACCTCGAGACATGGGGCTAAGTCTCAATTATATTGTATAGCTTTTTTTAAATGAATGAGGGATTACTGGTGTCCCGGAGGCCTCCCCAGTTTCACCAGGACAGGTGGGCGAGCAAAGGCTCAGCCAGAAGGGGCAAGTTTGGTAACAGCTACCCGAGCGCCTCCAAAGGAGACCTAACAACTCAACGGCAGCTGCTTCGCGAATGAATCTACTACCGGTTCGGAATCGCGACCCACTGAGAAGATCCGGCGAGAAACTCAGCGGGCTGATGTTTAGGTTAGGTTGCCCATCGAACTCCTTGCCGAGTTCGACGAGTACGGTTACCGGGGTTCCTAAGTCTGCTCCTGATGTTAGAGCTGAAGGCGTCTAATGCAAGGGTTAATTGTATAACTGTTGTCCCGCCGCGCCGTTCAAACCCGAATATGTAACGATAGAAACAGGCTAGATTCTACTTTAGAGTCATTAATTAAAAGTGACTAGGCATTGCTATCTATTCTATCTTCTTCTTCTATATATATAAAAATGAATTGCTGTTCGTTAGTCTCGCTAAAACTCGGCAACGGCTGGACTGATTTGGCTAATTTTGGCCTTGAATTATTTGTGGAAGTTCAGAGAAGGTTTAAAAGGTAGATAAATATGAAAATGCTCGGAATTATAATAAATAAAAATAGCAATTTTGTTTTTCCTTTGCTGTGTCCCCCGTCGGACAGATTCCTTTTATTTGAGGCACTACGATGTCTGCTGGGTCAGCTAGTATCGTATAAAAGATGTGAATATCTACTGTTCGAAATTGAGTGTTTCAAAAAGATTTTGTTTACGTTCAATGTTTTCGTTACGCGATGCCAAACGATCTACGTATTGGCAACAATAATTCTTATCGAGCTTAGTAACGGTAATACAGAAATAATAATATTGGAATGTATCCAGGGTTGCTTTTGTATTTAAAACTAGAATTATTAAAGTCGGGCTAGGTACGATTTGTACTGAAAACTGAATTGTTGAATCTTATAAGCCTCCTCATCATCATCATCATCAACAGCCCACAGTCGTCCACTGCTGACGTGGGACGCCCCCTGGCTAGATGGTGCGATGACCTCCGCACGGTGGCCGGCAAGAAGTGGATGAGGAGAGCTGCAGACCGGGCTCAGTGGTGTGGATTGGGAGAGGCCTATGTCCAGCCTCCTCGTCTCGAAGATAATAGTTGCGGTCATCATGGTGGCCTTTTACTGCCCTTCTCAATACTCTCAGGCTGGAGCAAAACTCGAAAAGACCAATGAGGCGGGTAGAGATGAATTACACTTATTTATATTTCTCACATATTGTCGCTTTTATGCAATCCATGAATTTTAATTTAATTTTTGTCTAATAATTTTCAATTTTCGTGTATCTGAAGTAAAGCTGTTGTATTCTTTATACGAGAAGCACTGCTGCTTGAGATACAGGTTTTATCACCTAGTTCAAGCACATATGCAAAGTATGATTGAGTTTCTATTCCTATGCTAACAGTAAATAAATAAATAATGGTTTAACGCTTTTTTTTTACAATAGAATCATTTTTTCTTAAACTATATTTTTAATTTATATTTTTTAGTTGGATTTTCTATAAAAGCGTATTTTGTTAGTTTTTTTAACCTATTATTTATTTTTCATTGTTTTTTTTTTCATTTTTTTATTTCATTTTAAATATTGAATTGTCATCGGTCCTTAATAAGTACCTACACAAAATTTCGAGTTAATCCGACGTTTTGAAGGGGGTCAAAATCATGTTCAAAGATTCCGTTACAAACATACGTACGTCTGAAGCTAATAAAAGCGTATTAATAAATAAATAAATAAATCTATCGATTCGCCCAACCGGGGGACTGGGACAGTGGTCGGTGGCTATTCGACCGTAAGCAATCACGGTTGACCGTCGCTGCGTCTATAAAATGCCCCGCTCCGCTAGGCAGAGTAACCCAGCGGCATATTGCGTATTAGCTGCTGACGCAATCGAAGAAAGTTGAGCCTGATTTGATTAGATGTAAAAACGATTATCATATCATATCATATTATTTATCATGCAGCCTTATATAACCAATAGAACGAATGATGAGTAAGTAAATAACAAGTACATGTTTGACACTCAGCTTCGGTCATTTCTCACGGGTACTGGAAACATATCGTCTTCACGCATTAATAAAACTGTATAAACTCAAAACTTACTAATTTTACAGAAGAGTGCTTTAAAGGTTTAACATGTGATATTTTTAATCTTTGCAACATTTAATCTTTATTTTTTACCAGATACATTATCTGTCTTTTAAAGTAAGAAAAAACGATGTTAATTTTGTTAATAGTAGTCAAAATATAGGTAAACTAAAAAAAAAACTAAAACTAAACTACGCTCTTTTGACAGTATTTATGAGAAAAATATAGGTGATACCAAATGATTCCGCATATTAACTCAATTTCGAATATTTTTGGAAATTGTACACTTTTAATGCGAAAAGACGATAATAACATATAAGACAAGAAGTAACCTAATTACTTTAAAAAGAAAATATCAACTCTGACAGGGAATTGAATCCAGTTGAACAGAATTCAAGTGCACTAACTGCCAAGCCAATGGTAGCGCGCGTGTGTGTGTGTGTGTGCGCACGTGCGTACGTGCGTGCGTGTGCGTCTGAGTGTGTGTGTGTGTGTGTGTGTGTGTGTGTGTGTGTGTGTGTGTGTGTGTGTGTGTGTGTGTGTGTGTGTGTGTGTGTGTGTGTGTGTGTGTGTGTGTGTGTGTGTGTGTGTGTGTGTGTGTGTGTGTGTGTGTGTGTGTGTGTGTGTGTGTGTGTGTGTGTGTGTGTGTGTTGTAGTCCCAGGGTACTCCGCTGGTACATAGGGCTCTCACAAGTTGTCTCCAATGGTAGTAATTCCAAAAAATTAAAGTAATTTAATTCTTAAGCTGATTCAGCAAACGTGACGGATTACTCAATAAGTTTCACTGTGACCATAATAAATGCTAAATTGCTAAAGTGGGCTGACAAGCTTTCGTCCCATCACTCCCATCCAGTGCTTAGTACCGGCACCGATATTGAGATATGCATAGTCTTATTTGTATTGCATAGATATTTTCCCATCTTTCAAGCAATCTAAGAACGATACGACGGTCAGACAATACCAACTCTCACGCTCGCTGAGTTTCTTGCCGGATCTTCTCAGTGGGTCGCGATTCCGATCCGCTCTTGAGTTTTTAGGTCTCCTTTGGAGGTGCTCGGGCAGTTGTTAGTAAATCCCAGCCCTCCTGGCTGGGCCCGTGCTCGAGCTGACCTGGTTAAACTGGAAAGGCGTCCGGGTTCACATTCACATATCAAATATGTTTATTAAGATCTCTCTCTCTCTCTCTCTCTATTTTTACCGTCAATTAAAATTTATATAGGTCGAGAATAATTCACAATAGCTTTGTCACCGATGCCCTTGGTGGCAGACCTCGTCGTCTTCATAACGATCGCCAGTTATTAATAAAGCCCTTATGGTTTTTACATAACTTGAAGCTAAGCCAATTGTTTTACGCAACGTTTTCAACATTTCGAAGACACATCAGTCAATATGCATTTCATTAAACTAGAGGTCCCGCAGTAGTCGAAATTCGACTATAATTAATTGGAATTGTAAGTTTGTACACTATTATGATTGTATTTTATACTTCTGTAATCACAAATTTCGCAAAGGCTACACTACAAAAAAATATAAACAAAGACAAACAATATTTAATCTCAATTTGACAACAGACCTCAAGAACAAAAGTTTGACAATAAATAGTATGCATGCGTGGGTGCGTCAAATACATGGTATGTAGTGGTGTGTAATGTTTTCTTTATTGATATAATGTATATTTTATGCATTATTTAAAAAAATATTAGCATTGTGCACTTCTTCTCTATATTCTCTATAAGTGTGGAAAATTTCATACTCCTCCGTCCGCGCAATTTTCGTAAAAAGGGATACAAAGTTTTTGCTTCACGTATTAATATATAGATAGCATTTGTTTACGAGTACGTTTTTGAGACGAACACGGTAGCGTTGCTTCATTTGTATTATGCAGGTGCGAATTGCATCACAGAACAATATCAGCGGCGTCTGGCGTCCGTAGGTAATTAAAATTGCTAAATTCATATCAAAAGAATAACGCGGCATTTTTTTTTTAAATGTCTATAATAATATTGTTCTTTTCGAGCTCAAGGGACCAAACGTGAAATATGAAGTCTGAGTGAACTTCACTAGGATTAGTCTTTTTTATCGCTTAGATGAGTGTCGTGCTCACAACTCATTT